AGGTGAAGTCGTGCAAGCTGTTACAGTAGCCCTGAAGCACTTGGCGGCCACACTCAGTCACGCCTCGAAGCCCTGACCCTCAAAGTAGTAACACCCTCACCAGAAGCCGTCTGTGGAGTCTGCGATCGCCAGGAAACATGCACTATCCAGGGCTCAGAGTTTCAGATCCTTAGTATTGGGACCCGAATTTAAATCTCAACTATGCACAATAGTTTACTCCCCTCCAAAGGGGACTTTATTGCTGAACTTCAGAGACAAGAGCTCACTGCTGGTTGGTAGGAATGAAGGAAGAATGAGCGCAGCATGAATTGCAAGAGCAGGAAGAATCGCAACACTGGTACTAGCAAAAAAACGGCAAACAATCATTAAGTTAATAGTGCTGATGTTGACATAACACATAATCGTAGCAACAGCAAGAATAATTTGCAATCGAGCAAGAACCGCAGTAAGGAGAAGCGTGGCCATTCTTTCATTTCCTAATGGCCAGGTTCGTGTTAGTAGTAGTGGTAGTAGTGGTGGTGGTGGTAGTAGTAGTAGTCGTCGTCGTCGTCGTCGTATTTCAATTAATAGTAACTACCCATGAACCTCCAAGTATTGGTACTACTCGGAGCGAATAGTAGTGGTAGTAGTAGCCTAAACCCTAAACCCCTGAACCCTAAACCCTAAACCCTAAACCCTAAACCCATTGTGGTAGTAGTAACTTAGCAGCAAGACACGTACCGCAGGCGATTGTGCAAGCGCTCACCCACATCGATCCAAGCCAGGCGCCACTCGGGGGGTTATGGAGATCCGTCCCTCAGGGAGCCTTAGGGTTTAGGGTTTAGGGTTTGGGGTTTGGGGTTTAGGGTTTAGGGTTTAGGGTTAGGGTTTAGGGTTTAGGGTTCAACTTTTAAAGAATAACAGACCCTTAACACCCTTGAACCTTTAACGCCTACTCAACCTTCACGGCCTGTGGGATTTACATAGGGCTTAGGTCACGGGCCCCCCCTCCCCCCCCCCCAAACCCCACAAAAACTTTTCTGTAGGAAACCATTCTCGAAGATGCCTTTTGACTTTTGACCGCGTCTGAAAGAAATGTTTATCCGTTCCGCGGGTGGTCTGGACAGGTTTAGGTTTAGGCTTTAGGATTTAGGGTTTAGAATTTAGGGTTTAGGGTTTAGGGTTTGGGGTTTAGGGTTTAGGGCGCGTAAGCATGGCTCGCACACCCTTCGGCGTGACGTCTGCTGACATGTCAGGTTCACTTCTTCGACCATCCGTGTCACCGGACTCAGTAGCCAGCACAGTCCAGCGTAGTCTGCTCTCCCCCTGATATTAAACCCTAAACCCTAAACCCTAAACCCTAAACCCTAAACCCTAAACCCTAAACCCTAAACCCCCACCCCCTAATATCGGGGGGTAGGGGGGGGATTGTATTAGGGGGAGGGGCGTAGTGTGATCTTCCCATGTTCGGGTGGGTGCAGTGCAGTGGTGTCCTATACCTTGGGGCCCTAAAAGGCTTCATGGTTCATGTACTTTCATGGGACATATAGTAGTAAAGGATATAAATTTTCGGGTTCATTTGGTCCTTAAGGTAAGCAGAGGTCCACAGGCAGTTGTTGCCTTTGAAGTTCAAGTTGCCAACCACGGGGGCAGGGTTTAGGGTTTCGGGTTTAGGGTTTAGGGTTTTGGGTTTCGGGTTTCGGGTTTAGTGTTTATTAGGGTTTAGGGTTTTGGGTTTAGGGGAACAAGCCCCCATGACATCATGAATTCGCTGCCCCATCGGACGCGCTGCTTAACCGGCAAAGACGCTGGACCTTTTACGCGCAGCTCAGCCAAGCGCGCGAACTATCAAGCGGAGTAAGACTCGTACCCGTAAGGTTGTACCCCTTAAGGTTTCCCTGAATGTACTCCTAACCCTAAAACCAAAACCCTAAGCCCTAAACCCTAAACCCCAAACCGAAGACATGCGGGCTTTTCTAAACTGCACTCTGTGGGCTCTGATGTTCACAGACAGGTTTGGAGTGCGGGTGGATGCACCAAAGACCCCTCAACCCCACAGACCCTAAGCTCAGCAGCTGGATGAGTACACTTTACACTTTTTGGGGTACTATAACCACCTATAGAGCTGAAAGTGTACACACTTTTCTGGGGGCTTATGAACTCAGCAACTCAGTGAATGGTTGCTTTGCTGTGCTGCGCGAGTGCCTGTACCTGGTTCCTCGGATCGCCAGAAGCGTGAAAGAAGGTTGATGGCTGCACAGAATGCGCAGACAGGGCCTGGAGCTCTGCCCAAGCCTTGAAACGCCTCAATTCCCGAGCTTCACGGTAGCATGTATTGGTGAATTATGGGCCCTTGTTGGGTACCCGGGCCGCCTTCTAGTCGCAACCCACAAAAGGGTCCATAATTTAGAGAAGCGACCATGTGTCTTTCTGGCGGGCCATCAACTTTTGCTTGCATGTTCCAGCTTCTCGCGATCTTTTGGTGAAGGCATGGATTGGTCATACGGAGATGTCTCAAAGCACCGGGTGTGTTCGCGGAGCCTTGGACAATAGTCATTCCAGATATGAACATGAATATGAGTAGTATATATACGTATATACGTATGTATAAACAAGCGAGGGATGATAGACACCCCCGGTATTGAAAAGTAAAGGGAATCGCCCCGAAATGATCAGACGTGTGTTTTGCTCGGAAACACGAGAAGAGTAAAAAAGAACGATGACGTTCAGGATACTGCTAAAACTCGAGAACACGATAAGAGCAAACAAGAACAAATGCGTAATTCAGGGATATCTTTCGGGATAGGGGTTTTCACGCATCCTCAAGTGCAAGTGTGTGTGTGTGTGTGTGTGTGTGTGTGTGTGTGTGTGTGTGTGTGTGTGTGTGTGGGTGTGTGGGTGTGTGGGTGTGCGTGTGCGTGTGCGTGTGTGTGTGCGTGTGGGTGTGCGTGTGCGTGTGGGTGTGCGGGTGTGTGTGTGTGTAATATATATATATATATACAAATATCGCGCAGAATTACGACTAAGCATATACAACAATAACGGTAACAAATTAAGTATAGAACAACCATCATCATCATCATCATCACCCCCATCATCATCATCATCATCATCATCATCATCGTCGTCGTCGTCGTCGTCGTCGTCATCGTCATCGTCATCGTCATCGTCATCATCATCGTCGTCATCATCAGAAAGGTTGTGAGTTCCCGTTGCAATGGCAAAGACTCCACAAACGTCAAGCAAAGCACCTGAACACCGAAACTGACTACGAGGAGGGTAGTGCGCACTGCGACTCATGAAAGCGGCACCAGCGGGAATGAGGGAGTTATGTACCTTATGTATTTAGGGTTTAGGGTTTAGGGTTTAGGGTTAGGGTTGAGGCTCAAAGGGTTTAACATAGGGATATAGGGTACCTAATCTTGAGAGCGGGCACGTCCCTCATCGGTTGTTTACCCCGCAAGATGCCATGCACCCTTTGTTTGCATTGCTAGCGCGCAGGCTCGGGATTTCGGGGTTTAGGGTTTAGGGTTTGGGGTTTAGTGTTTAGGGTTTAGGGTTTAGGGCTTAGGGTTTAGGGTTTAGGGTTTAGGGTTTAGGGGCCCCTCCTGTGTGGGGTGGGAAGCTACAAGGAGGCTTGAAGCATCAAGGCCCTACACAAGGTGCAGGCTGTCATGTGTGCCTTTCCGGCGCTTCAATTTAAACCCTGAACCCTAAATCCCGAACCCTGAATCACTGAACCCTAAACCCTAAACAGCAGCTCTTGATGTTGAAATGCCCTAGTCCGCCGCAACAGGCTTTGCTGAGGCATCGCCAGACATGTCAAGTACGGAGTTCTTGCTGCGCTTTGCGAAGCATTCGGCCACTCTGCCGAAGGTACTTGGTAGGCCCTTGGGATGTCTGGAGTTTTCCCTTGTTGGGTTTGTTTTAGAGGATCCTATTCAAGAATATTTTTCTGAGGGTTTCAAGGGCCATCCTAGTGTAGGAGGGGACCTCCCACAAAGGTTGGGGCCAAGCCGATCTATTCCCAAAGTTCAGTCCTAGTCTGCCATCGGAGGGAGGCCCCTGACTTTCGTAACAATCCAGTTGCCGCGTTTTCTTGCAGAATGGGTGGCCACACGGACCCCGTGGAGGATCCGAAAAGTAGAACCCCCAAATAGTGCCCTTTACTACTATTGGGTCATTTCTGGAAGTCTTTAAGGGGATCTATTTTTGGATCCTCCCAGGGGTCGGGCCAGGCGCTGATTGCAGGCCAGCGAGATGAAGGAACCGCTTGCTTCTGAAGCTAATTCCTTGGACTCAATGCAGCGCCACACCCTACTACCTAAACCCTAAACATCCCTATGCCCCAAACCCTAAACCCTAAATCTGCTGGCCTTTGAGCAAGTTTGGTGGTCAAGAGGCCTGAGCAGCTGGCCATGTTGCTGCTGCCCACCAGACAGACTGGCTTTAAAAGTTTTTTTCAGAAAGTTTTTCAATGAAGCGAGCCAGCAAGAGTTCCCACGTTCTTTGACTCTTTGCACACCGCTGTGTTAGCTCCCTGGCTGAAAGCAACCACAGCACCGGGAAGCAAGTAGGTGCAACACTAGACCCTAAACCCTAAACCCTAAACCCTAAACCCTAAACCCTAAACCCGTAGCTGGTAAGGAGCTGTGAAGAGAGCCTGTGTTTGCTGCTGCTGCCGATGCAAATTGCGAAACTCTAGCGCGAGGCACGGAAGCATACAGAAAAATGAGGTTTGGGGTTTAGGGTTTAGGGGTTGGGGGTCTAGGGTTTAGGGTTTAGGGCTACTGCTATTCCGCTTCTTATCACTACATATTGCGGCGTATATTGACTTGATACGTGCAATCTTTGTGTCGACGATACTGCTACTGCTACTACTGCAAAATTGTTGTCATCATGTTGTATGCTAGAAGAGCTTCAGAATATGCAACCAGTCATGTTGTTTGTTGCTATGGCTGCCACACCTTCATTCAAGCTCATTCTGCACGCCACGTTCTTGTGTTGCGAACTGCTGACAGGCAGCTTTCGTGTCGCGTGCATTGCACGGGCTGTCCGCGGGCTCGCCGGCTGCGGTGTCCTCGGATCCTCATCAACCATGTGCTGCCGAAGGGAGGATCCAAAAAGTAGACCCCCTTAAAGGGTTCCAAAAATGACTCAAGACTAGTGTAGGGTACTATTTGGGGTTGTACTTTTTGGATCCTCCCAGGGGTCTGGGTTAGCTTGGAGGAAGTGCCACTGTTCGGGGCTTCAAAGCCGGCGGACCTACCCCCGAAACCCTAAACCCCAAACCCTAAACCCTAAACCCTAATCCGTGATCCCTAAACCCTAAACCCTAAACCCTAAACCCTAAACCCTAAACCCTAAACCCTAAACCCTAAACCCTAAACCCTAAACCCTAAACCTGAGGTCGCGCAGGTGCCGGCCGACAAGCGCCTGACGTTTGCAGCAACGGCTTGTGGCGACGGGGAATCGCTCCGCAGGGTGAAGGCATCTTGTGCGTGATGCATCAATCCAGGGTTTAGGGTTTAGGGTTTAGGGTTTAGGGTTTAGGGTTTAGGGTTTAGGGTTTAGGGTTTAGGGTTTAGGGTTTAGGGTTTAGGGTTTAGGGGTTAGGGTTTAGGTTAGGGTTTAGGGTTTAGGGGTTAGGGGTTAGGGGTTAGGGGTTAGGGTTTAGGGTTTAGGGTTTAGGGTTTAGGGTTTAGGGTTTAGGGTTTAGGGTTTAGGGTTTAGGGTTTAGGGTTTAATAAGGGCTGAGGGTTGAGGGTTTAGGGTTTAGGGTTTAGGGTTTCGGGTTTCGGGTTTAGGGTTTAGGGTTAGGTTGGTAGGTGACCCAGGGGTCTGGGGTCTGGGAGGAATCCAAAAAGTAGAACCCCTTGAAAGGGTTCCTGAGAATGCCCAATAATGGTACAGGGGATAGGGTTCTACTTGTGGATGCTCCCAGGGGTCTGGGACACTGCGTGGAACCCGATTGCGGGACGCTTGTTGTAGTATCGTTTGTAGGATGCCTGCCCCAGCTGCGCTTGCTGCCCATGCATCACAGCATCTCTCCCTCAAAATCTGGCTGTCGCCCGTCGGCCTTGATTCCCTCCCTGGTTGGTCCGAGACCCAGCTTGGCAGTCAACTTCGCGGTTTGTACACAAAGTAGTGCGTGACGCCTGTGAAGAGATCCTCCTCAGGCTCGATGGAAGACATCGACGATGCAGGGGCCTCAGTCGGCCCTGCGATTGGGACCGAAGGCGGCAAAAGGTCAGCCCAACCTAGAAAAGCAGAGAAGGGTGGAGAACTAGTCGAAATTCCACCCCCCCTCCTTTCTTGTTTTGTTTCTTGTCTTTGTTCTTTGGAGTCGAGACAGAGAACTAGAATCTGAGGCTGCGGGGGTTGGGAGGGGGTCGCAGCTCCCCCCGCCCCTAAAACGGCCAAAATAGGGGCACCCCTTTTACACCCCAAGTAGAATAGAATCCCCTTTTTTCAGGGAACCCCCAAAAGGGAACCCCTATCTGCGGAATCCCCCCCCCCCCCCCGCAATTTGAGGTGCTTCGGCGATGGCAGAGCCTGAAGCCAGACGGTGCCGTGTTTCGTGTGCCTGGCCAGCACCTTATCATGCCTGAGCTTGCGTGGCTATCCTTCAAGCCCTCAACCCTAAACTAGGGTTTTGGGGTTTAGGGTTTAGGGTTTAGGGTTTAGGGTTTAGGGTTATCACGAGGCCCAAACCTCCACACAAGTTCAACATGTTTTCGCATTGGAACGGTTTGAAGTGTCTTCGACGCCCCATTTGCGTGGGACGCCCATCTGCCACACCGGCAGGCCGAGTGCCTGGACGACGCTGTCTCCATGGTCAGCATCTAGTCCTCAAGAAGCACGTGTCGAATGCTCTTGGTCTTCCCCACCCCCTGAATTCTGGAAACCCTAAACTCTAAACTCTAAACCCTAAACTCTAAACCCTAAACCCTCAACCCGAGAAGGCAACATCATTGCCGAGTCCGGTGCCGAAAGGTGTCTTCAGCGCAAAGCACTCATGCCCCTCGGTTGACGTCGCGTTTGTCTCAGAGCTGGGGAAGCCCATGCCCAACTCAACTCTAAACCCTAAAAACCCCGAAGCCCTGAACCCTAAACCCTAAACCCTCAAACCTAAACCCTCAACCCTAAACCCTAAACCCTAAACCCTAAACCCTAAACCCTAAACCCTAAACCCTCCCATCCCAAGCCCCTAAAAAACCCTTCCAGGGCTCTGCCAGTCTTAGGCTTCTACGCCCGGACAACGAGATCAACGTGCCGCTGATGATTCAGCTGCTGCAAGTGGATGACTCCTTTGAGTTCTCTCAGGCCGGGGGATTTAGGGTTTAGGGTTTAGGGTTTGTAAACAGGGTTTAGGGTTTAGGGTTTGGGGTTTAGGGTTTGGGGTTTAGGGTTTAGGGGGTGAAGGTTCATGGGAAGCTAGAAGAAGGGTTTTACGTGCCCTAAACAAGGTTATAACCAGTCATAATTATAGCCGCATACTTATCACCCACTTCTAGAAGGTGCCCCCAACTTCAACTTCAGACCAAGTCCCAACATTGAATGTTTTAACTAGCCCTGGACCCCTACTTGAAGGTTCATGTATATTACAAGTGAGGGTTGTAAGTGCCCCAGTTAAGAAAAGGCTATAGCCAGCAACAAGCATAGATACCCCGCTTTTAAACCCCAGCTATCACAACCCACAGGCCTCCAAGTAAACCCCAGTTCCCTAAGCCTGCGGAACCCTCAGCCCTAAACCCTGAACCCTAAACCCTAAATCCTCTCAGCCCTAAACCCTAAACTCACTCTGGAAGGCCAAAACGTGTGTGGAATCTCCTGTCCCGTCCGCCGTGGTCTACTTCCCCTACTTCTGGAAGGCTGGGTACGGGCTCTGGGGGCTTGTGCTCTATTTTTTTTACATAAACAAGGCTAGTCTACGCAAACCCTTAACCCCAAAGCCTAAACCTTAAACCCCTAACCCTAAACCCTAAACTCCTAACCCTAAACCCTAAACCCCAAACCCTAAACCCTAAACCCCAAACCCTAAACCCTAAACCGGCCCAAGGCCATGCAAGAACTGCAGCAGCGCTTGGCCCTCGAGGACGGACGAGCTCCCATTGCCGTAGAGGCTCCCGGGGTTTCGGGGGGGTTTAGGGTTTAGGGTTTAGGGTTTAGGGTTTAGGTTTTAAGGTTTAGGGTTTAGGGTTTAGGGTTTAGGGTCTAGGGTTTGGGTTTGAGGGTTAAGGGTTGAGTGTTGAGGGTTTAGTAGGGTTAACTTCCAAACCCTGAACCCGCAGCCCTTAAACCCGTAGCAATTGGGGTTCAGGGCCTTCGGAGGGCTTATAGGGGTAAAACCATGAACCCTAAACCCTTAACCCTTAAACCCCAAAAACCTGCAGTTGAGGAGTTTAGGGGGAATCCACTCTATCGGGGTTCTGGGCATGGGGGCCCTCAACCCTAAACCCTAAACCCTAAACCCTAAACCCTAAACCCTAAACCCTGAACCCTAAACCCTAAACCCTAAACCCTAAATCCTAAACCCCTAAACCCTAAACCCTAAACCCTAAACCCCTAAACCCTAAACCCTAAACCCCTAAACCCTTGTTTCAGGCGGTTCCCATGTTCGGGCTTAAGGTTCCATGTCAAGGTTCGGGGTTCACCGCAAACCCTAAAACCGAAACCCTAAACCCTAAACCCTAAACCCTAAACCCTAAACCCTAAACCCTAAACCCTAAACCCTAAACCCTAAACCCTAAACGCCCTAAGTCCTTCGATCGGGCCAGGGATGCAGGGTCCGGATTATGCAAAAAAAACTCCCGCAAACCGACCTGTGACCTGTCAATCCAGAGCCCAAAGCCCCCGAACCCCTGAAACCTAAAGCTTAAAGATGTTTTTAGGGTTGAGTGTTTTTAGGGTTTAGGGTTTAGGGCTTAGGGTTTAGGGTATAGGGTTTAGGGTTTAGGGTTTAGGGTTTAGGGTTTAGGGCAGTCTGCGGCCTCTCAACTCCGAAACCCCCGACAGGCAGCCAGCTTCCGGGATGTCGTGCTCGACCGGGCGGACGCCGGCAACCTCACGACCGCCGGCTTCGCCGACCTCATCCAAGAAGCTGGGGCTTCTACGGAGTCTTTTTTTTGGGAGGGGGAGGGGGAGGGGGGTGGGAGGGGTTTAGGGTCTAGGGTCTAGGGCTGAGGGTTTGGGGATTTTCGGGTCGAGGGTTGAGGGTTTAGGGTTTTTCGGGTCTAGGGTACGGTTTTTCTGGGGGCTTGGCACCTTTCAAGAGGGCAAATGCGCCCAATGATTCTTGCTACATGTCCCTGGCATCCGGGTTACGCTAGGCAGCCTTGCAGGTTTAGGTTGCAGCATATCCGAGAGCCGAAGACCTACTCAACAGCCCCCTTGGCCCTGCAAATGCCTCCTGAATCCCTGAACTAACCCTTTCAAACCGAGGATATTTCCCTCCCCCCCCCCCCTAAAGGGCCCCTTAGGCCCGAGGCCTGGGAGAAGCCCTCTACAATTCCGTTGAGGGTATGGGCTTGTAGGCTCCAACTATTTCTCAGGTAAGTCAGAAGGGCTCTTCCGACCGATCTGCCTGGGACCGTCTGTTGGAGGCGGCCCACTTCTTGGTTGAGCAGGACCTGAGTGTCTTGTTTTTTCCCAGGGGCGGGGGGGGAGGGGGGGGGGGGCTTCTGATGTTGGCCCATGGTAGATTGAGCTGCCAAAGCAGACCTCTTTTAATTCGAACGGATGTTGCGGGGCATGAGGCCATTGCAGCGCGGGGGTCGACTGTGGCCGGATTTCTGTGCTTGCCCCGGTGTCAACTTTCTGGTCGGTTGCCCCCAATACGCAGGCTGGTGCCCTCTTGCTCAGGTTGTTCTGCTAGAGCACGGGGGCTTCTCAACATCGGAATTTGGTGTGTTTGGGTCAATTACGAGATTTAAGAGTTACATGCAGGGGGCGGTTCCCTTTTGTTTGGATTCCGGCTGGGTTGCTTTGAGGACACATGATTGCTTGGTGATGCCCTAAACCCTAAACCCTAAACCCCAAACCCTAAACCCCAAACCCTAAACCCGAAACCCGAAACCCTAAACCCTAAACCCTATGTACTGCTGCCCTCCGCATGGATCAGGAGAAGCCCAAGACAGCAGAGAGACAGCCACAGACGTCCGCGGAAACATTGCAGCAAATGACGTGCTCGCAGAAGCCCATACACATGGCTATTCTGGCCACCATACTCTTCTCCTGGCTCTTCGAGTTGTGCGAAGACTACTGCAGAGGCAAGGTTGAAGACCTACAACCCACAGTTCTATATATATATATATATACACACACATATATATATATACATATAGCACATATATGTTGCCTCGTTGTTCATGAGGAACCTTCAGTGGTTGCCTGAACGGGCTTAGTTGATTTGCGACGGCCGAGGGGGTTAAGCATCACGGGCTGCCGCTCCTCCCCATGAATTCCTTTGCGAAGCTCACAGACGCTAG